CCACACTACCTCATAGCGAGCTTAATTAAATACCAAATTTTATATTTTAAAAACCTGACAAAAGTGAAAGTCTTGACCCTTAAACCGCAGTTTTCAGATTGCGTTTCTAAAAGTGTGGAAAAAGCCGGATTTAGTACTCCCAGAAAGTCCTTTTTTACATCTTTTACACTCTTTACCGCAGAGCAAGTCTAGTCAACGACGAAAACTGAAAAACGTGAAAATATTGAGCAAACACAAACAAAACCAAAATCTGAAAAAGTTAAGATTTTGACTTTTAAAACAAAATTCTTCAAATGACCAAAATTCCTGAAAACACTGAAACAGTCGTATTTTTCTTGAAAATCCTGATGCGAGTTCAATTAAAACGCAAAAATTATTTTCTAATTATTCTGATTTTCCCAATTTATGCGTTTTACCTCGTGGTAAATCGCATGAAGGATATTTCTTGATATGTCAAAAAACAGAATTATGCGAAAATTTTTAGCTTTCAAACCCAGCATTAAGATGCTGGAAGTGGCTAAAGACGGTCATTTACAGCTGGATTTTTTACAAAGAAGCTTTGTTAAACCGTTGCTTGTTGCACGTTAAAAGCAACACGATTTTTCCACACCAACAGTTAGTTCCAATTACAATTCAATAGAACTTTAGCAGCAGTTTTGGAAACGAATCACTGCAGACAGATGCGGGTGACAAATTTTCAAACTCTTTTGGGTCGCGCTATTTGTTTCTTTACCCCAGACTGTATGATGGCTTTCGATATTTCGAAAAACATAATGAAACGAAAATTTGAAGCTTTGTAGCGCAGTGTAAGGCCCAAACTCTTGATTGTTCCGGAGAAGTTTATTTTTAAATACCATTGATACTTTTATGCTTGAAATAAGCCTAAAGATGGATAGAATTTGAAATAAGAAACCGAATAAAGCGTAAATTGTGAGCTTTCTAACGCAACATTTCGCCGTTGGAAGTTACTATAGAGCCTGAAATGAATTCAAATATTAATTTTGCAATACAAAAGCTAAATCAAGAAAGATATCGAAAGTTTCTATTAAGGCTGAAACTACGGCGTGTTGTTGCGGGAAAAGTTCATTCCTTGCAACTATACATATTTTTATCTGGTAGCAAGCCCGATGAAGGACGGATTTTAAAATTTCAAAAAACTATAGAAAGCTAAAATTTCGAGTGTTCCAATGCAGCATTGAGATGCTGATATTTCCAAAAGACTCTGAAACTACAGCCTGACTTTTACGGAAAAGTTCAGTTTTTGAAATTCTTCAATCTTTTGCCTCAGAATAAGCACAGCTAAAGATAGATTTTTAAATAAAACAAACCCGAATCAAGCTAAAGCTTTGATCTTTCCAACGCAGCAATCAGATGCTGAAACTGAAGCTTGATTTTGCCGGAAAAATTTATTTTTTGATACGTTTTGTACTGCCTAACCCGATGTAGGATCGACAACAAAAGATAAATTTTGAGCTTGCAAATGCAGCATGTAGCTGCTGGAAGCAGCTAAAGACGGCAAAACTGCCGGATTTTTCGTGGCAAGTTAAGTTTTTGAAAGCTCTGCGTTTTGTACGGTTAACTGCAAACCATTTTTTTTTCAAACGAAGAATATACATGAACTAATGAAGCGGAGTAGAATATGACTTAGTTCAGTTCTAATTACGATGGAAGCGAATTCTAGAAGCCATTTCAAAAAAATGTCAGTTCAAACAGATTGGGGAAACGAATTTTCTAACTATATCAATTTGCTCTATTTTTTGCCACTTTTTAAGAAAATCTACTGGAATTTTCAAAATCCTCACACTCCTTACCTCGGCGCGAGCTTAATTAAAGACCAAAGTGTAAATTTAAAACCTGATAAAAGGGTAAGTGTAGAGCCTTAAACCGGAGTTTCCAGATTGCCAAAGCTTCTAAAAATGTAGAAACAGCCGAATTTATTACCTTCTATCAGAAACTACGTTTTTTACATCTTTTACACTATTCATCTCCAAGCGATCATAATCAACGACCAACACTCAACAATACGAAAAGCTTAAGCCTTAGAAGTCCAAAAACTGAAAGTGGGTAAGAACGCAGAAACAGTCTAATTTCTCCGCAAAGGTTTGTTCCTGAAGGCACTGAAACAGTCCACTTTTTTCAAAAGTTTCTTTCCTACATCCTCCATACTTTCAAGGGAACTCAGTTAAAAAGCAATATTAAAATTTAACATTTCCAATTTTGTAAGACGGTTCTCACATGCCGGAGGCCTAAAAACCCTGAGATTTCGAAATAAAAAAAAATAAAAATAAAATTTTGAGCTTTGGAAACCAGCATTCAGATGATGGAAGTTCGTAAGAAGCTAAAGAAGCTAAAGCTAGTTCCCAATTTTTAAGAAAAGTTTAATATTTGAAACCTTTTTTCCTGCCTTTTCCTTTGGAACAAACCCGCTAAAGGATCGATTTTGAAATTCAAAAACACCAAATAATGCAAACTTTTGCTTCTTTCGAACGCAGTAGTATTCAAATGTTGGAAGTGCCTAAAGACGGTGAAACAGCCAGATATTTCCGGCAAAGTAGCAATTTTGAAACCCTTCCTTTTTGTACGTTTTTACAATCACGTGAGAGCAACATTTGTTATTTCAAACCAAAACTTTTGGTCAAGTGATTTGAAGTACCATTTAATCGAACCTCATAAGCAGTTCTGAAAAAGTATCACTTCTAAATATTTAGATTTTTTCTATTTACGCCTTTTACTTCGGAGTAAATCTTGCGAAGAAAAGCTTTTCATATATCAAGAAAGCGCATCATGCGAAAGTGCCTAAAGACGGTGAAACAGCTGGATTTTTGCCAATGAAAATTTTTTTAACTTTTGATTGTTGTACGTTAAACGCAACATATTTTTTCCGCACCAACACTTTTAGGTGAAAATGAGTCTCTACCTTTGCTCTAATTACAATTTAATTGAACTTTAGAAGCAATTTTGGAAACGAATCACTTCAGACAGATGCGGGTGACCAATTTTCAACCTATTTTGGGTCACGCTATTTGTTCCTTTACCTAGGAATGTATGACAGTATATTTTGGAAACCAGAATGAAGCGAAAATTTGGAGCTTTTTAGCGCAGAATAAAGCTCAGAATCTTTATTTTTCGGGAGAGATTAATTTTTAATTACCATTCACCCTTTAACTCTCGAAATAAGCCCCATGAAGAAATTTATTTGAAATTAAAACAACAGAATAAAGCGAACATTGTGAGCTTTTAAACGCAACATTCAGTTGTTGGAAGTTACTATAGAGCCAGAAATGGAATGAAAATGAAATTTAAGATTAATTTTGAAATATTAAAGCTGAATCATGAAAGATGCCGAAAGTTTCTATTAAAGCTAAAACTACGGCGTGATGTTTGGGGAAAAGTCGATTCTTTGGAACGATCCATATTTTTATCTGAGGGTAAACGCAATGAAGAACAGATTTTTAAATTTGGAAAACTATAGAAATTGAAAATTTCACGTTTTTAAAGCATTCCGAGTATTTAGATGCTGGCATTTCCAAAAGAGTCAGAAACTACTGTTTGACTTTTACGGAAAAGTTCATTTTTTGAAGTTCTTCAATTTTTTACCTCAGAATAAGCACACCAAACGATAGATTTTTAAATAAATCAAACCCGAATTAAGCTAAAGCTTTGAGCGTTTCCATCCATGTTTCCTTTTCCAATCAGATGCTGGAAGTTCCTAAAGCGAACGAAACCAGATCTTGATTTTTTCGGAAAGTATATTTTTTTGAAACCTTTCGTGCTTTCTAGCGCGTAAATCCAATGTAGGATAGAATTAGCAATAATAAAAAATAGAATTAAAGAAAAATTTGAACTTTTAAACGCAGCATGCAGCTGCTGGAAGCACGGCGAAACAGTAGGATTTTTCCGGACAAGTTAAAACGACTTTTCAAGAGAAAATAAATAATCTAAAAAAAAATCACTTCGAGCAGATGCTGGAAATGTATTTTCAAACTCTATTATTCTGCTCTATTTTCCGCCACTTTTTAAGTAAATCTATAGGAATCGTGGAATGTTTTCTTATAACGTAGTCATTTTCAAACCTATTAATATAAATCCCTGTAACAAATAACTTTTTAAATTTCAGCTCAGCACACGAACCAAGGACTTTATAACGATCAGACATGTTCGTTTCTAGGTCGATAATACATATTTCGTTCCTGGAATTTGTACCATAAACTAATTAATTAGTCGTGGGAATCTGGTCAAAAGTGAACAAAGGCGCACCAAACTGACCTTTTCGCCCACGACTTTGCGAAAGTTTTTCTAAAAAAATTTTATTTAAACCGTCGAAATCCATCAAACTGGCTAGAAAACTTGGGTATCAGGGAACCCACTGATTTCTAAAGCACGAATTTTCATCTGCCGTTTTTTGTCCAAATTAAAATAATCATTGTAATTCCAAGCTTTAGTCAAAATTTGCTAGTAAGAGGGTATAGGAATAACCAAAAGGACACCATAGCACAATTAATTTAGAAGAGAAGGCAATTTGTGTTTAATTGTTGGGAACTAAGAGCGTTTAGAAAGTGTAGTTAGACGAATTTTGTGCTTTTACATCTGTATTAAGTTCTACTGCCTATTAACTTAATTAATTAATTAAAAAAATATATTAATTTACTACGCTTAATAATTTTCTCAATAAAAAAATTTACTGTTTAGAAAAATAGAATGCACAATAAGTCTGCACACGCTTTGCAATTTATTGCGCAAAGTTTTTTCACAGGCACTTTCAAAGAACAATTTTTGCTTCGGTTAATCATAAATATATTAGGTTTCTTGTCGAATTATTAATCACTCTGCATTGATGTGGGAGGTGAATTTTTCAATTAGAAAAAAAAAATTTAGGTGCATTTTAGTTTTATAGAATTTTTCCTCTATAGAATTTCAGAAGAACCTCTCGTTATTTTCCATTCAGCCCACTAAATTTTTAACAATTCCAACAGCAATTTTAATGAAAGGGTTTTACTTACCGTTTTAGCGACACATAGTCAATTGCCGCATTGCCACAGTGAAAACCGTCCACAAAAAAGTGTGAAAACCGCAAAAACCCAACGAAAAGCTTGAAAACGCGTGACAAACCGAAACGTTTTTTCTCGACAGTTACTAAATGGATGCGATGAAAGATGTGAATTAAACTGTCGAAGGGACGCCGGACCTCATACTACCTGTTGAGACGTCCGGGGCTTGTACCTGTGGGACGACGCACGCGCTTATCGGACCACCTGCTACCCTGGATTTCCACCGACGCTCCATGGGGTCCGCTTTCTGGAAAAACAGGACAAATGTCGACGATTGCCTGGATAAGTTGCGTTTTTCCCCAATACAACAGCAAAAATCAACTAAACTGATTGCGCTTGAAATGGGGTCCAAATTTTTATCTGTGGAAAGCTAATTCACATAGAACTTGAGAGAAAACTCAACTTAATCCCAATAGATATAGATAGGATATCCCAAAATTTGGTAGAAGAGATTTGTAAAACCTCCGAATATCGAAGTGGGGGATTTTAGAGAAATAGAGTTGTTTTTTTCGGGTTGCCTCGTGTGAGAGTTTATAAATGTGTCCAGATAGAGTAGCAAAAAAATTGAAGATTTAACAGTGTAATTTTCTTGCATGGTTGTATTCCGTAGTCTCTAAAAAATTGAGGACGTAGACTTTCCAATTTTGCTGAATTTCAGTATTTCACTTTACGGCTCAGTAACAAACTCTGCAGCTAAATAAAAAAACTTTCCTTCCTAGAATTCCCTAATTGAAAACGTGAAACAGAAATCCTTTGCGCTCAACACGTGGAAGGAACTTGGAACAGCTAAATATTCAGCATATAACCTAAAATTTAATGTTTTCAGATAATGAAAATAAGTATGACTAAAAAAGTTAAAAAAAATAGTCAAAATAATCAGGTTCAACGCAACTGACCCTGTTGAACGCCAACAATTTGTCAAGCTCTATAAGAATTCTAGTAGTAGTCAAGTAGGGTGCCGATGACGTATTCCGACGCATAAAGAATGCCGATGCATTTGAGGAATACTCAGCGTTGCCACACGTTTCAAAATTGCTGAAAAATATTTTCAATAAAATTAATACGTCCTTAGTATTTATTTGTATGAATCTTTGATCTAAATACTAAAATTGAACTAGGAAATCCACTTTTGGATAAATTTTGTGGCTGGCCGTCAATGTGCTGACTGGAACAGTTAAGCCCAGGTTAAGCAACGTTTCGTTAGTAACTGTTACGGACACACTTAAATTATTTTGGAATTTTTTTCATTGCTTAATGAAGCGAACTTTTGGTTCTTCTGTCTTGAAAAACTTTGAGTCCTTGAAATGTATTTTTTTGCTTTTTGATTGCAATTGGTAATTTTGGCCTTTTCCAGCTCGTCTTCTGATGGATCGAAATGAAAAGATATTTCACTAAGTCTTGATTTATTCAATAAATGTAGTTGCTTTCACCATTTCGTCATATGCAAGAAGCTGCAAATATATCGAAGTGTTAGAAAGAAAATTGATGATTTTTGCAAAGGGCCCAACTTTTAAAAACTTGGAAATGGTCAATAATGAACATTCCCTAAGAACATTGAACTCACATATTTTTACGTTTTGGAAAACTTGGGTGGTAAAATGAGTCAAATTTATTAATTTTGTTACGTTATATTGACGTTATTACCATGGCTAACGATTCAAAATTTGCTCTTTCCATTTTTTGCTTGTCTTAAAATGTGAATCTTGCTGCTTCGTCTTAGAAAAAAACAATAATTTTCTCGGTAATTATCCGAACAAAAAATGACGTACGTAAGATCAGGTGCAAATTTCGAAGTTCCCCAACCTCAGGCACCCCTAGCACCGGTTTCGAGCCTATTAGCTCTCATAATCACTCTTTGTAGATGCATTTGGTGATTTAAGTGCCTCGCCTTTACCTCGAAATTTGCACTAACTTAAAAATCTTTGTACAACAGTAATATAGCGACGAGAACAATGAAACATTACTGAAAGACAAAAAGATTAATTTGCAGGCAAAAAAACTCAGGAAAACTGTAAAAAAGGCAAAAACACAATTAGAACAACTGAACAACACTGAACAGAAACTTTCTGTTACAACAGAAATTAAAATAAGCCTAGCGAGAATGTATGAAATAGTATGAATTAACAGAGAATGAAATAAAGAAAGGCGATTGAACCGAAAGTTCTTCAAATCCCAGTCAACACCACAACAAGATAAATTGGCGCAATCGATACGCTACAGCGGATGAATGTTAAGGACATTTTTAAATGACAAAAGTGAATGTTTAAAACGTTTTTTCATCAGTTGGAGGTAGATTATTGCTCTTTTTCCAGCTTAACTAACAAAAAGCACTTAAACTTGAGCGCTGAAGAGGAAATGTATTGAGCTAAATTCCACCACATCACAGCGTACGATTTTTTTCATTGAAATCAAAAAATGTGGTAACCACAATTTTAGAGTCATTTGCGGTCTACTGGAAGAAATATTATACATCAGGTTTGTTTGATAATTGCGTTGGCAGGCAGATAACTGTTCGTCGACTTTTTCTTCTTCACTTAAAGAACACTCTTAAACTGAGACCTGAGCCGAAATTTACTACGTTAACTGACTACCACAACATAAAATGACCACAACTTTTGAGACATTTGATATCTGTTGGAATATTTATTCTACTTCATTTTTGTATGTGCAGTGTACATCCTTTACAACCTTTACAACCTTTACAACCTTACCCACAATTGCTGTAAAAGTATTGGATGGAACAATATGAAAGAAACGCGAAAGAACCAAGTGTTTTGAACATCCCAGTTCTGTAACAGGAACAACATAAATTGGCGCAGTCGATAGGATTCGCCGCAGAGTGTCACATTTTGGTTTTTGTTTTTAAAAAATTACACATCTTTCGGTCTAATCAATGAATCGTCGTGATTTTTCTTACCAAATCAACATTAGGATATCAGGAATCCTGGAAACATCTTAAATACGGCTACTTAAAGAAATATGGTATATATGAGGAGAAATTCGTAAAGTTGATAAATTTTGCAAATACCTAGCTAGACTTAAGTACTTTAGCTGAATGAATATTCTATTTGTAAAATAGCAATTTGTTTTTAAATTTATGCCGACCTGCTTGCCCTTATTTAACATTTTTTCAAATTTTCTATCAACAATTAATGGATTATATCAAAAGTTGCTTAATTCTTAAACAAGAAAGTTTATTAGTTTGGCAAAAATGGAAATAGTGAATGTTGCAGTAAATACTAAATATTGTAAATTTCTTATCTAATTCTGTTACATTATTCAAAGAATGTGAAAGAACAATGAAAAACTTTCGGAATTATTAAGGCATTCATGAGCATTTTAAATAGGCAAGTGCAGATTTCGAAAAGCGCCAACATCAGGCACCCCCAGAACCGGTTTCGAGCTTATTAGCTCACATTAGCTTGGTTCAGCCTAAAATTAGCGCATTTGAACATATGTATTTACTGACAAGGATTACACCTACTTAATCTACGGATACCTTAAAAACTAACATCCTTTGTTGAACTGCTGAAATTGATTGAACATCAATATTATTAATCTACTTGAACCGAATTGTAATCCTAACATAACCTCCTCTTTTGTTTCCTAAACTAACCTATATCTAGTCTATGGTCTTTGATGGTCAGGAACTAGTCATAGCTTTTGGTCCATGTCTTCTCCTTAAGCTGTGTCCGCAGGGAGAGGTCTGCCCGGAACTTTCTGATGCAAGATTCTTGCTTTGACCGTAATTTATTCAGGAACTTTGACGTTAAGTTCCTGTCTTCGGGTCTCGTCTCAGTGTGGTGTTTCTGACATAGTATGTATCCTTTGCTGATATCCTCAAGATAGCTTGTTTTGCTGAGCTGCCATCTGTTCCTGCGTGATGCTGGCCGTGGACTAGGTAGGCGATCCATAGGTCAGCACCGGGCGTATCAGCTGCTTGTAGGCTCACCTTGGTTCGCAGGAGGAGCTTATCTGCCAGCATTGGATAGGAGGCATGGAGTAGGTACCGTGTTGTGGTAACTGTGGCTGCTAACTGCTAACCATACTAGACGTTTATCATAGATTAGCCCAAGATATGTGATTTTGGACCCCCATTGTGGCCTTTGTCCTCCGAGCTAGAGCTACTCCCAGCCTACTATAGTAGGCTTGGAAGTTGTTTCCTGACGGCTGCGAATACTATAGCTTGCGTCTTCTATCGTTTTAATATCTGGTGCGTTCAATAGCAGGGGAGCCAGCACGGACCCATACGGTACTCCTAACATCATCGGCTGCCAGTTTTGGAGGTGAGCGGCTACCAGCTCATTCACTCCTCTCTTGTTCTGGGTGATTAACCAGGTTTTCCCGGAACTGTGGCTCTAGGTGGGGGCAAAGAGCGTTATTTTTTGTTTTCTTGGATTGGTGATGTTGGCTTCCTTGGTCCTGCTGTGAGGCACCTGGCCAGATTCCAGAGTTCTCTTCTTGACTCATCAGCCTCTATTTCGTCCATGTGATCCTCCTAGAGTTGCGATCGAAAGATTTGTATGTCTTGCTTGATCGCATTCTGGAGGCGGTTGGCTTGTCTCTTCAGGTGTGGGTTTTGCGGTCGCATGGCTCTGGAGATGAATTTATTTTCTCCATTTGGGATATGGGAACTACGGATATACATGCTCATGCTTCCACGGCGTTGTTAATATCCCTGGTGAGTCTTTCGGCTGACTGGTCCAGGTGGTCCTTTGTGGACCGTTGGGTCCTGCTGGTGATTTCCAATGTTCTCTGGGAAGCGTGCCAGTTCACGATCCTTCTAGTGACAGTGGAGCTGTTGAAATTTTTTTTTTTTGTTTTCCCCACCGGTTGACGCGTGGGGGCGGTTTACTGCTGCACTGTAGCTTCCGGTCCTTCGAGCTGTAAGATTTTCTTGCCTTGTCTGCTATTTGGGCGAGGGATTTGCTGGGCATAGTATTCTTCTGATTACAACTCGGAGCTGCTTCTCTTTCTCTAGTTGATAAGTGTGATTCTGGTACTTGTGATGATCAAGTACCATTATAATTGCCTTCGTCTTCGCTGGTGGGAGGGTGCGTTCTGACGCCTTCTTTTGTAGTCACACCACAGCCGTGGTTTGTTTTATTTTCCATCGGCCTCTTCGTA